AGCATGGTCGATTTTAAAAGAATAAAATACAATATTTCTATATTTTTGGGTCCAACTATAATTGAACAGTCGGCTATATGGTAAATTTATAGTGTCTCTAACAACGGCATATATACATTCTCTGCTTCCGCGAACACGATTGTGTGTGTGTGTGTGTGTGTGCGTGCGTGCGTGCGTGCGTGCGTGCGTGCTTGCGTGCGTGCGTGCGTGCGTGCGTGCGTGCGCGTGCGTGCGTTTCTCCCTCTGTCTCTGTCTCTTTCTTTCTCACCCCTCGCTCTCCCCCTCCTTCCCTCGCTCTCTCAACTCCTTCCCTCCCGTTCTCCCTCTTTTGCATTCAACCTCCCTCCCTCTTTCCTTCGCTTTCTCGCTCCCTCCCTTTATCCTTCCCCCTCTTCTTCCTCTTTTGCTCCCTCCCTACCTTCCTACCTCCTGCCCTCTCTTGCTAATCTCTCCCTCTCTTGCTCTCCTCTCCCCATCTCTCTCTCCCTCCATCTCTTCCTCCCGCTCGCCTTCTCTTTCTTTTTCGCCCCTCTCTCTCTCTCTCATTTCCTCCCTCGCTCGCTCGCTGCCTCCCTCCCTCCACCCTTGCTCTCTCCCTATCTTCCTTGCTCCATCTCCCCTTCTCCCTCTTGCCCACTTCCCTTTTTCCGCGCTTCCAATTTTCCTTGCGCTCTCCCTCTCTCCCTCTCTCTTTTTCACTCCCTCCCTCCTTCCTTCGCTTGCTCCTTCTCTCGCTCTCCCTTTCTCACTCGCTCCCTTCCTTCCTACCTCCCTCCCTCTCTCCCTCCTTTGCTTTGTTCTACTCCCCTCCCTCTCTCATTTGCTCCCTCCCTCTCTCCCTCCTTCGCTTTGCTCTAATCCCCTCCCTCTCTCACTTGCTCCCTTCCTCCTTTCCTATCTCTTGCCCTTTCTTGCTTTCTCCATCTCTCCCTCTCTTGCCTTCCCCAACACCCTCCCTCCCTCTCTATCTTCCTCGCCCCTTCCCTTCTTCCTCTCTTCCTACCTCGCCTTTCCCTTTCTGCCTCCCTCCCGCCCTCTCTTGCTCCCTTCTTCCCGCCCTCCTTCCCTCCATCGCCCGCTCGCTCCCTCCCTCCCTCCCACCCTCGCTCTCTCTACTGTCTCCCTCCCTATCTTCCTTGCTCCATTTCTCCCTCTCCCTCTTGCCATCTTCTCTTCTTTCTCGCTCCCTACCTCCCTCGATCTCTCCCTCTCTCTTTCACTCTCTTCCTACCTCTTTCTTGTGTGTGTGTGTGTGCGTGTGCGTGTGTGCCTTTATGCGTGTGCGTGTCAGGGAAAAAAATTAAAATTTATTTTTCGGGGTCTACTTTTCAAGCTCGCGTGCATCAAAATAGCACTCTAAAATTTAGTTTGCATTGAACTTTATGCAAATTTCCGGGGGCTATTTTTGGCATTTCCGGGGCTCTTTTTGGCATTTCGGGGGCTAAATCGCCCCGAGCCCCCGTTTATTTTTTTCACTGGTGCGTGTGCGTGTGCACGATCAGTAGGCCGCCGTTATAAATGACCAGAAGGCGAAAAACATCAAAGGTTTAATCTCACTTGTACATAATCGTAAGTTATTGTTGTGCGGTCTCCGTCTTCAATATCTCCTGCCACATCACGATGCTTCTGTCAGGATCCCACCTAGACAAAACAAATACTTCAAATAGGAATCTTGTATTTTATTAAGCCAATCGCATGTTAAAAATAGCAGCAGATTACTTTTTAAATTACGTTTACGCCACGTACCGCTATGCCGTCGCGTGCAAGAGTATTCTTGCTCTTGCCACCTGCTGCCACCTGGTGACTAGTTTAAGCAAAATTCTGTCAACAACGAGTTTTAGTGAGAATTAACCAGACCTTGTGAAATACACAGAAGAGAATCGCGAAGAAGAGAAAACTTACGATTGGATTTACTTTGCCACCGTGTGAAAATAAGCATCGATTAAGCAGAATATCGCATGCAACAGTAGTCTGTTTTTTCCCTCCTGCCACCTGGTGAGAAGCTGAAGCAAACATCTGTGCAGATCCCTGATGAATATCAGAAGCAGAACGTAATGAATCTTCATTTACTGGCAGACAGCAGATCAGATATTGATGAATAGCTTTCTCAAAACAATTAGAATGAATGACATTTATATGAAGTTTGACATTGATTATTATGACATTTCTCTCCACTCCCTCTGCCAAATGTTTATAGAAATATTTTTAAGGTGATTTATATAGATTTTGCACATGGGAGAGATAGTGATCCGCTAGCCGGGACGGCTCTGATTGGCTAATTTTGTCTTTTATTTATTTTTATTATTTTTGACTAATTTTTTTATATTTTAGAATTAGGGTTAGGGTTAGGGTTAGGATCAACTGATTTCTATATCCACAACACACTATAATAATGCGCCATCTAGCAGATCACTATCTCTCTCCTGAGACCTACTTGCTTTATATATATGTATTATTATATGTTTACATTTTTTGAGTGTGAATTCCATTAATCTAATACCCTACCTTTCATGTTTCTCTGTATCCGTCTTCATGAGTAGGTTTTCATTCATGGTTACCAATATTTTGGGCTAACTTCCTATATGTGATGGCAGTAGAATTCTACTCGGAGAAGAAAAATATCTACTGTGAATAAACTTATTATTTGGTTTACGTTACCACTGTGTGAAAGCACACCCCATCCAACATTACTGCACATAGGTCATAGCTCTTGTTTCCTGCTATCACCTGGTGACAGGGTTAAGCAAATATCTCTGATAAATCTGTGAGAAATACACAGAAGAGAATTAATTGTAAAGAAGAAAAAAACTTTTTTGATTTACGTCGCCATCGTGTGGAAATATATTCTATGCAGCAGTATTCTGGCCCCGGTCACCTCCTGCCACCTGGTGAGAAGCGGATGCAAACATCTGTGAGCAACAAGTCAGGCCACAATAAATATCGGAAGCAGATCGAAATGAGTCACCATTTAGTGGCAAACAGCTAAACAAATGTTGATGAACAAGTTTCTCTAAACAATTCTATTTGCAGCAAAATGTTGATACACATTTTTCCCAGAATGTATATATATTTACTAGGATATTATCACATTTATCTCAGTATCCTTTGTTAATCGTTTGTTCGAGAAGTGAAACCAGGTACCCTTGTTCCCCATTCACGTTGGGCAAATTATTTCTAAGGAAAAATTCTGTATTCTCGTGCTAATAATGCTAACCGACCCCTATTATTCTCCAACTGTCGTTTTCCCTCGATGTTATCCATTTTTTCTGATGGGGTGACTCGGTAAATGCGGTGGCTGTGACATATACTACCTGGACAACGAAAATATCAACACTGAACAAAATTAGGTTTGGTTTCCATTACCTTCATGTGAAAATAAACCACGGGCAACGTTATTCTAGCCTGTCACCTGCTGCCACCTGGTGAGAAGGTGACACAAACATCTGTGTACAACAAGGAAATGTATAATATAGAGATAAACACGTATATTATTTCAAGACATGCAACAGGTCTTCCTAGAGGCAGTCCTAGGTAATTCGCTAAAGTAAATCGTGACGAGTCATGACTTTTCCAGAATATTATGACATTTCTCTCTGCACCTTATGCTAATATCCTACCTTTCTTGTTTCCCTGTAGCAGACTCCACCAGTAGAGCAGTTTTTCATTCATGGTTACAGATGTGTTGTTCTGATGGGGGTGAATTCCTATATGCGATGGTGGCAAAATCATACATAGAAAAGAAAAAGAAAATCTACGGCGAATAAAGTTATCATTTGGTTTACGTTACCACTGTGTGAAAGCATACCACGTCTATGTGTGCTGAAAATTAAGTTCGTGGTGGTGGTTGGGGGGGAGGGGGACGTAAAATATAAACCTATTATAATTATAATAGTAAAAAACAAATAGGCCTAAAATGCAAATATAAAAATCTCAAACATAAACGTGATGTGTGTGTGTGTGTGTGTGTGTGTGTGTGTGNTTTTGTGTAAATTATATTAGTACTAGCTCTCACACGTCTGCGTCTTATTACCGCTGCCATTTTGTTGCGATGAAAGTTAATGTCAAGGGAGGGTCTAGGATCTCTTAAGTTAATTTTTAATTCTCTTAACTTTACGAAGTTTCTGTCAACGCTGTCAATGTTAAATCAATAAAAGTGATTAAGTATGTTATGGTATGCTGTTTCTGTTAACAGAAAGAAAAACGAGTAACATGTATTAATAATAGATAGAGAAATATATAGTATTAGTGTTCCATTTATATATTATATTATATAAAAAAATGTGTGTGAGACAGGTCCACTTCAAACCTAGCAACAATAATACCAGGTGAAAATTGCAGGACAACCATCTGTTTATTCTACAACTTATATACTGGCAGCACTTAATACAGTGGAAGCTTATACAATCGCACTGCATTGCTCGTTGTGTGCCTACACACTTCAGTCACAGATGTTCCACGAATGTTGGATATTTCCTGAGCCACGGCTAGCACCATGCCAGGATGGGAAAACTGCGAACCTGCTGGTGCAGCTACAGGTAGCAAATAAGGAGCATCCGTCTCGAGTAGCATTCTGCTCAGTGGCAGATTTCGAGCCAGTGTGGTGACACTGCTGGATCTCCCAACGAGCCCTGTAACGCCAATACACAAGTTGGTGAAATGCTGCAACCAACCCTGTGCGTGGACCCAACTGCCTGTAAAACAGTGCAGATGGATAGGGTGGTCGAGCGGTAAATGCTGTTTAGCTACCTGTAAACAGTCAGCCTCTGCATTTCTGCAGTGAATAACTACAGGCAACCCCAGCTGTTTGGCTATCTCACACTGTGCTGCAAATACTGCCTTCTGTTTCACAGTACCAGAAGATCTCGCAACACCTGTGTAATCTAAGCCAGTCTCACCAATGGCAACGACACGATCATTCTGAGCCATTCGAACCAGTCTTGATTGAAAATCTGGACCAAACTGATTGGCATACTTCGGGTGTAAACCAACAGTTGCCCAAGCACACGGGAATAGTGCCATGATTTCATCAAAAGTACAAATCGGGCCTAATAAAATTAGTCACTACTGCACGAAGGCAGCGTGGCAACTCATATTTAGGGACTGGTCTGATCTGTATGATGTCTAGATGGCAGTGAGCATCTATAACGCCAACAGTGTCAGGCAAATGCAAATTCGCACAGCGACGAGCATTGCAGCGCCTCCTCAAATTGTTTGCACACCACAGGCTGGGCACAAATAACTGTGAAGCCATTGTAAGGGTGCAGTGAACTGAAAAATAAAGGAAAAGTTTGCGAGTTTTCTTTGTTTATATTTTTCTTCTACGTACTTGACTGAACTTATTGCAGTGTTAATGTACCTCTGTGATGTATGTCTAATGTGTCTAACCAGTCTGCAGTCTTATTATTAGCGTATAGCTAGGATCGTCGCTTCCATGCTAAATGTCCATGCGTTAGGTCGTTGCCTCATCAGCATGTCCAACTGTCCAAAGTCTTTCACTCGCAACGTTAGTGGCAGGTACCTTTGCCGCGGCGTCCCTTTACCCCCTGTCTGACTTCATGTGTGTTCTCATTTCATGCGTGCACCTGTGTAAACTTAGTTGGAAATGTGTGAGTGTGATTTCTAGTGCTTCCTGTGTATATATATTGTGTTGAATATCATCAGTGTCTGTGAACAGTGTTTCATACATGTCATCTCTATGAACCTCCGCCACACCTTCATCAAACATCACAACATGCCCAGCTACCAATTCCGATGCATCACTTGACCACA